CCCTTCTTTTGTCCTTCTTCAGGGACCCTTCTCACAAGTCTCAACAGAAGATTCACAAATGATTCCTGAGAGGGGCAATAAAACTTATACCACCATTTTATAGGGGAAAGAGCTTTTATTCTCGCTCCAAAAAAAATCCAGAGGTTGGAGACCTATCCTGGACTTGTGCAGGCTGAATAAGTACTTTAAAAGGCAGTGATTCACCATGGTAACTCTAGGAAAGATAATTACAATCCTGGAAAAAGGAAACTGGATGTTGTCCCTCAACCGGCAGGATGCATATTTCCACATAGCAATTTGGCCTTCACATAGAAAATTCCTCAGGTTTACTCTAAAAGATCAACACTATCAAAACTGAGTCCTCCCCTTGGCCTGTCCTCAGCACCAGTGTTTTCTCCAAGATCCTCATTGTGGCAGTGGCTCATGTAAGAAAATCAGGAATAGTAATTTCCCTTTACCTAAACGACTGCCTGGTAGTAGCTCCTACAGAACAAAATGCCATGCAGTACATCACAGGGACACTTCAACTGTTTGGCACTCTGGGCCTTCAGATAAACACACAAAGTCGCATCTTGCCCCGTCTCAGGAGTTGGAGTTCATAGGTCCCACATTAGATTGGGTACAAGAGCAGGCGTGACTACCAATACAAAAGTTCCACGCATTGGCCACACTAGTAAAGACAGTAAGGACAGCCCTACAATATCTGTCACAGTGCCTGAAACCTATGTCATATGTCTACATGACAATATATGTAGTCCCGCACACCGGGCTATACTTGTGATGCCTGCAGGCATGGCTTCATACATGCTTTCGGCCTCACAAGCACCATTTTATACAAACTGCTGAATCCCACAAACAAGGTCAGGGAATTCCTTAGGTGGTGGTTGCAGGCCAACAATCTCTGCTTCGGCGTCCCTTTTCAACCCTGTCCATATACATAACTACAAATCCTTCCCTAGAGTGCTGGGGTGCACACACCAATGCCTACAGCACCCAGGGAAGAAGGTCACCTCCAAAATCAGGCCTGTACATCAACATCCTAGAACTTCACACAATAAGAAGTGTATGTGAGAATCTTCTTCCCTTAATTCAGGGCAAGTCAATGAGAATACTCACAGACAATGCTGCTTGCATGTTTTACGTAAATTGGCAAGGTGGGGCCGGCTCATACCATCTCTGCAAGGAAACTCCCGTGTTGTGGCAGTTATGCATTCACCGTCAGATCGCTATATCAGCAGTGTATCTCCCAGACAAGCAAAATGTCACTTCGGACCAATTGAGACGTGGAATATACATCCTCATGCTGTATGTACTATCTTCCAGAAGTGGGGCTTTACAGAAATAGACTTATTTGCCGCATCCCACAACACCAAATGTCCCAGGAATTGCTCCAGAGTGAGACGGGGCAAGAGTTCCATGGGAGATGGCATGATGATCAGCGGGTCTCACAATCTACTATACATATGCGTTCCTGCCCCTTCACCTCCTCAGCAAAGTCATACAAAAAATAAAACAGGACAGGACCAAAGTAATCATGATAGCACACGCATGGCACAGACAGACCTGATTTCCTTACCTGTCCCAATTATCAGTTGCTCCTCCTATTCCTCTTCCACGATGGCCAGACATGCTATCTCCGGACTAGAGTTGCATTCTTCATCCTGATGTCTGCAGGCTCCATCTCAAGGCCTGGCTCCTCCAAGGGTGATTACACAGGACCTCCCCTGTTTGGAAGCAGTTCATACTCTAATCATGAACTGTATCATAGAGTGTTCAGGAAAGTCCTATTTGCAGAAATGCACTGTTTCTTTAGGTGGGCCACCCAGAAAGCACTTCAGGCTCGTTCAACGCAGCTGATGATGGTCTTGGAGTACCTCATTTTATTAAAGAAACAGAATCTTTCAAATTCATCAGTAAAGGTCCACTTAGTAGCTATTTCTAGTGAGCATCGTATCATACAGTCACACTTTTTCACACCTGACCATTAAGACATTTTTAAAGGGTCTCAATAATATCTTTCTCCTAATAAGGCCAGTAGTGTCATGTTGGGATCTCAACCTTTTCCTTAACACCCTTGAACTGCTCTCTGTTTGGATTGATGGCAATGTTCTCCTTGTGGCATCTTTCCATTAATGTTGTTTTCTTGCTCGCAATCATGACATCCAGAAGGGTCAGCGAGTTGGCAGTGCTCATGGTGGATCCACCATTTATCGCCTACAAACAAAAAGTTGTGTTAAGACCACATCTGAAATTTCTTCCAAAGATAGTTTCATAATTCCACCTCAGTGAACCTATATACTTACTGTTTTCCACCAAAAGCCTCATCCTGACGTTAATCAGTGCAACTCCACTCTTTGTTCGATGGGAGATTGCTTTTTACTTAGATAGAACAAAGGACTTCAGATACTCTTCCAGACTGTTCATTTCTGTAGCAGATTGCTCCAGAGGGCACGTGATTTTGAAAGAGGCTTTAAAAATGGATAATGAATTGCAGGGTCTCAGCAGAGAGCATGAGCAAGGGGGCTGGGGATGCGGGGCATTAGCGGAGGGTGTGAGCAAGGGGGGCTGGGGATGCCAGGTTTCAGCAGAGGGAATGAGTGAGGGGGCTAAGAATGTGAAGTCTTGGCAGGGAAGTCAGTGAAGGCCCTGGGAGTGTGGGGTCTCGACTTGGGATAAGGGACTGCTTGTTTTTGCATCATGCTCTGCTCCCAGGCACTGCCTCCCCGCTGCTCTCATTAGCCAGGTTCTGGCCAATAGCAGCAGCAGGAAAAGCCTCTAGGACAGTGGTCCCCAATGTGTGCCTGCCGAAACCTCTGGGCTGGCCTCCCTTGCCCCCCCGGCGCATGGCATATACGTGGTGCTGGCCCTGGGCGCATGGCACATGGGCAGCCCCCACCCCCGGGTGCATGGCGCATGCGTGGCCCCATCCCTGGAAGTGTGGCGCGTGAGCGGCCCCGCCACTGGAGGCCTGGCATGTGAGTGGCCCCGCCCTTGGGCGCCCAGAAGCCACGAAAGGTTGGGGACCACTGCTCCAGGAAGCGCATTCCTGTGCTGCTGTTCTGCCAGCTAGGGATGCCACTTTTTCCCTGCAAGTTGTATCTGACAGGAAGTTTCAGGGTTTTCTTGCCCCTCTTCCCGTCTGCAGGAAACTTGCACTCCAAACTTGCAGTGGGGAGGCGGGATACAATGCTGGAGCACCAATGTGGGCTCTCTATTGTGAGGGCAACAAGAGGGAATTGAGGTCCAGCAGCAAAAGAGCCATAACTGGCTCCCTAGTGAGCCATATTTAGCTCGCAAACCATAGGTTGTGACCCCTGCTCTAGAAGATACCATCAGAGATGCTTAGTTTTGTAGTTCTCAAATTGTGGATTTGTCTCCAGAGATAACCTGCTTGTTAACAGCAAAAATGTTTTCAAATAAATATTATATAGAGGTGAGAAATAATAGACCTCAACCCTACTGTCCCTCTGCAAATTTGTGTACACAAAGTCAATCCCTTACTGCTCTCTAAATGTGCAAAGTTTAAAAATTCAATGAATAAGAAGCCAATATTTTAAGTTTCTCATGTTGATCTGGATGACATAATCAGTTTAACTTTTGTTTAAATTTAATTACGCTATTCTAATTAAAATAATTTTAACAAACTTGTTTTTAAAAATACTTGAATGTTTCACTAAATTAAAAAAATCATATGCTTGCTTTATTAAAATATTATGTTTGCCATTGAAGAAAAAAATCCAGAATGTATAATATTCTTGTTTTAGTTAAATAAAACAATTTAAATGTCTCTCTCGTGATGTTCTCCTAATACAGCACAAGAAAATCCTCCAATTATTAATGATTTACCTATTGAATTGGAGATAAGCCACCTTCCAATGGCTTCATAAATATCTGTTTCAGTTACCTTTGGCAAATGAAATAAATCAAACAATCATTCATTTTTTGTTTATAGCTGTAAAACTAATGTGAAAAGTTTTCAAAATAAATCACTGTTTAAAAATGTATAGTGTGTACCCTTTTAAAAAAATGAAACCTGCATCTGAATTGTGGTGAAATGTGTATCATGGTTTTGAAAACCAGCAAGAATACACTTTTATGTAGAAAACCATAATTAAATTGAATCTTCCCTACTAGCGATTTAAAATATAATTGTAATTGATTTAAATCAAATCCACTCTGAAAATATTGCAACATTAGAAAGGATACATTCCCTTGATGGACTGGCAGACTGATCCTGTAAGCCATGGGAGTGGATATTTACCGTTTTCTGAAATCAAGCTATTTTTAAGCAAGCATTCTTCTATAGCGGTTCCCCACAGCACTGAACAGTGAAGGGCTGGGAGTGGGGAAGCTGAGCTGGAGTTAAGTATTTGTTCACTAATGAGTAGCCCATGTTCTTGCTTAAAATACATGTGAACTAAAACGGAAAATACAGGTTATTTGCTTTGGGATGTTAAAGTAACTCACTGGTTAGCTCAGCCTGTGCATTCTTTAGAATTGTTCAGGCTTTAGGTTTCTGTCTAGAAATAATAATAATACAGAGAAAAAGTGCAGATGGGTCAAAATCAAATGATACAGAAGGCCTGTTGGGGCTCAGTATACTGTTTGCAACTGAGTAAAGGGATTCATTTACTGTATGAAATTTGAAACTACCATGTTTTGGATTAAAAAATGCTCTTTTTATTGTCCATGAATTCAAAGAAGTTGCTAATGTTAAACTGTGGATCAGTTCCTGCTACAGGTTCTTTCTTCTCACATAAAGACAGATTTCAGAGACATGAGATGCTTGTGATTGGATTACGTACACTGGATTCTACATTTTCAGTGATGTGTCATTTACTTGAGAAATAGTAGTTGTTGGTTAAAAGATATACATTTTCTGCCATCTTGTGTAAACTATATTGTTTAAACTTACTGACCGTTTTATACTTCATTTCTGGTGTTTGATCAATTATGTTTTCAACTGTTTTGTAAGTTTTTTTTCAAATTTCAAATTACAGGTTTACGACTAGCTCTGGCAAGACTTCTTTCAGGTGAGTGTTACATCTGGACAGGTGCCGCCTCTTGGACTCTTTAGGGTTTTGAAGTTTAATATTGGGTTCCATTTTTTCCTTTAATAAATTACTTTAAAATGTCACTGCTATCATTATTGGTCCTTTAAATCAATACTTCAGTTTCATTTTTTCACCATTTCTTGTTTATCTCACCCCTCATGTTTACCCCATTGGTTATCTCACAGCTATTGATAAGCTGTTGCTATTCCAGAAAATATACTGCCACTGCTGATAAGCACTTAACATTGTCTGTAGGGCAATTTGTTCTACTTAGGAATATACTGATGAACTGTAAAGTCACAGTGCTGATTGATTAGACATATGGTTTTGTAGTGAGTGTGGAACTGGTTTTGTTTCCAGCTGTTGCTGACTTGGGCAACATATATTGCCTTTCTTTTCCTCAGTTAACCCACTTATTAAAAAGGATATATTACTTGGCAGGGTTGTTGGGGCTAAATATTTTTAAAAAGTATTTTTTATACAGTCCCTTTGTCCAGTGAACAAATCTTTTGTGTAACTTTATGCTTCCTGTGTTTTCCACATCCTCAGAATTAAGGGAAAATCAAATACTCATGAACTTTCTGTCCTATTAATTACTTTAATCTAAAGATATCTGTTGAAACTGTTTTCATGGACTATTTCTAGCCCTTTTTAGTCTTTTTGAGGACAAATGTCATCAGAAATACATCCAAAACAATGTAAGATATCCATGAAATTTCATGTTATGGCACAGTGATTATTTGTTCGACTTATAAGAGAGAGGATTCCGCTAGAACAATATCATGCTTTTGAGGCAAACAGCAACTGGCACATGGCAAATTTGATGTGAAAATTAGGTCTAGCAATTAATCACAGCTAACTTGCATGATTAATTCAAAATTAATTGCAATTAAAAAAATTAATTGCAATGAATTCCAGTTTTAATTGCACTGTTAAACAGTAGAATATCAGTTGAATGTTATTAACTATGGATTTTTTCTGTATTTCCATATATTTATTTCAGCTACAACACAAAATACAAACTGTACAGTGCTCAGTTTATATTCTTCAGTGCAAATATTTTCACTATAAAATAATATTTTTCAGTTATCTCAAAGTACGGTAGTGCAATTTCTTAATTGTGAAAGTGCAGTTCAGAAATAGTTTTTTGTTACATAACTTCAGGTATGCTAAACATTTGTTATGGCCCTTTATACATCGGCCATCATTGCAGTGGCTAGTGATGATGCTTGTTATATATATATAGTAGCGCAGTGTCTGTAACGCTGACACATACTGCCACGCCCCCCTTCCCCTTGCTTCGTGGCGGCAAGC